GGTGCCGTAGGTTGCGCTCCATTATGGGGACACGAAACGTGTGAGGAGTGCGCCGCAATGGGCGGGGCCCGAGCATGCGGGCGTCGCCACTGGAGCCTTAGACGGAGCCCATTATGGGGCCACGAAACATGTGGGGGAGGCGCCAAAAGGACATGAGGAGTGAGGGAGGAGGACGTGGGGCGCTCTCTGTTCAAAACGAGGGCCAAACACCACAGGACGGTTGGGAAAAATCTGCCCCAGGACCTCTCAAAAAGCGCGTTTTGATCAAAACTCCACAGGGCATCGAGCCGTGCACGTGGGTGCTCCAAGAGGTCCATTTAAGAAAGCCACAACAATCTCGAAACTCGAACGATCGATGTCACGCACGACGACCTCCACCACGACGACGGCGGTGGCGTCGGCGGAGACGATGACGGCAACATGACTTCAAAATCCGCTCAGAAGTATCCGGCCGTGGCGCTGGGGAATCCTCGTGTGACGCCCGAAGAAAGGCCAGAAGCATCCTCGATCCTCGAATGCCTCGACCCTCGACCACCTCGATCCTCGATCCCCGATGCTCTATCGTCGACGGCGTCGAGGTCGACGACGGCGGCGGCGGCAAGAAAGCCCGGCAGTGGTGCCTTGGAGCCCGGGGGCGGCTGCAACACAGGCGCGACCTCCGCTTTGGGGGGAGGGGGGGGGGGGGCGGGCGGGCATGCCGACCTTTAAGGGGGCCATGGGATCTTGTTCCCGAAATCTATCAGCAGTCTGCCGACTGTCCAGGCCGTCGGCCCGGCGGCGGCCCCTGCACTCGGGAGTTCCGCCCGGGGCCGACGAGTCAGTTTTTGCTACAGGGCAGTTTTTATTGCATGGGATGTTCAAAACCATGAGATTTTTAACAAATGACTAATATATGAATAGAATAAAGTAATGCACGAACTCATCGTTGCTTTTAGTACTAACTCCCTGCATGCTTAATACATGATCCGCACGCGGAGCATGAATTAAAAACGGCACTGTACCGTTTCTGATGTCTTCCTAATTTTCATGGTTTCTGGCGCATGTTTGTTTTACGACTACGGCGCCCCTGGTTTACCGTGTTCGTCTCGCTTGGTGGGGGTCTGGTACGAAACATACATTTTCCAACCAACTCCGAACAATGTTCTAACCGATTCCGAACGTACTTCGGATCCCCAGACTGCTTCTGTCCGCAGATCCCCGTTTCGGTGAACCGTTTTGCTAACGTTTCGGTGAACCGTTTCTGTCACAGTTTTCACTCTTAAGATGCAGTTTCTCCCCAAAGAAATGGGTGCGTTTGAGGATTATTACTTGTGTTATTGCGAAGGCCTTACGGCCTGTGCCGCCGACCCTGGAGGCCACGAATATGGAAATGCGGGGGGGGGAGGAGGAGGTGGAGAGGGAGGAAGGGTGGAGGAGGCAATTGAGGGAGCAGGCGGGGGAGAATGATGAGGTTCCGGGGGCCGTAAGAAACGGACCCGAGGTGAAAAACTGCATCGGATGGACCCCAGGAAGAGTGCGGGGAACAATTTTGAGCGGGTTTCGGTTAAAGAAGGAGGAGGAGTGGTCGTGGAGGTTTCGAGGTTCGAGGATCGAGGCCTTGAGCGTTTCGGGACCTGCCCTCCCCGGGTCCCTCCTTTTCCCAGCGGAGAAGGGATGAAAGGAAAGGGGCTTCCCTTCGTGATTCAATGTTGGCGCGCCTGGAGTTTTTCTGGGCTCCGACATCGCAGCGAGGGAAGCGTCGTATCTGACCCGGGAGCATCCCCCGCCACCCGTCCTGGGTCTCACCCTGGTAACCCCCCCGGGACGCCCCCCCCCCACCCCCGGCGGTGAAGGGATACACGGAGTTCTTGGGGGGGGCCTCTTGGGGGTAGTTCTGGGGCCTCTTGGGAGGCTGTTGGGGGCCGCTTGGGAGCCTCGTGAGGGCCTCTTGGAGCTTCCTGGGGGTCTCTTGGGAGCCTCTTGGGGCTTCGTGGGGAGCTTCTTAGGGGCCTATGGGGACCTCCTGGGAGCTTCTGAGGCCGAGGGTTCGAAATGTCCGGTCGAGTCTCCAATCTGGGCTCTCTTGGAGCCGTCTTCTGGACCTCTTGGGCTATCTTGGAGGCGTCTTGGGCGATATTGGGGCGGTCTTGGGGGCCTCTTGGCCTGTTTTGGAGCGTGGGGAGGGCGGCAAGACAGCACCTGCACCATTCGAGCCAGTTTGGGCCACGGTGTCTACAGTTCTGGCAGCCATGCATGCCACGCTGTCCGGCCCTGTCACGCACCGTGGCGGACCACCCACCCCCCCCTGCGCACCCCTCGGGTGTCGAAACAATGTTACGCTTGCCGCGCTTTCCGAACCTGGCACGCATAGGGGCCGCGCTGAGGGACCACCCCCACCCCACCCCCTCTGATGGCGAGAAAGTGCAACGCCTGCCACGCTGACCCACCCTTGCACGCATAGGCGCTGCGCTGAGGGACCACCCCCCGCGCACCCCCTTTGGTGGCGACAAGATGCCACGCCTGCCAGGCTGCCCGACTTTGGCACGCATAGGCGCCGCGCTCAGGGACCACTCCCCGCGCACCCCTCTGGTGCCGAGAAAATGCCACACGTGCCACACTTTCCGACCCTGGCACGCATGGGGGCCGCGCTGAGGGACCACCCCCTGCGCACCCCCTCTGGTGTCGAGAAAATCCAACGCCTGCCACGCTGTCCGACCCTGGCACGCATAGGCCGCGCTGAAGGACCACCCGCCTGTGCACCCCTTCTGGTGTCGATAAACTGCAACGCTCCGACACTGGCACGCATAGAGGCCGCGCTGAGGGACCAGCCCCCGCGCACCCCTCTGGTGGCGACAAAGTGCCACGCCTGCCACATTATCCGACCCTGGCACGCATAGGGGCCGCGCTGAGGGACCACCCCCTGCGCACCCCTCTGGTATCGAGAAAATGCAACGCCTGCCACGCTGTCCGACCCTGGCTCGCATAGAGGCCGCGCTGAGGGACCACCCCCCGCGCACCCCCTCTGGCGGCGACAGAGTGCCACGCCTGCCACGCTTTCCGACCCTGGCACGAATAGGGGCCGCGCTGAGGGACCACTCTCTGCGCACCCCTTCTGGTGTGGGGAAAATACCACACGTGCCACATTTTCCGACCCTGGCTCGCATAGAGGCCGCGCTGAGGGACCACTCTCTGCGCACCCCCTCTGGCGTAGAAAAAATGCAACGCCCGCCACGCTTTCCGACCCTGGCACGCATAGAGCAGGCGCCGAGGGACCACCCCCTGCGCACCCCCTCTGGCGTCGAGAAAGTGCAACGCCTGCCACGGTTCCCGACCCTGGCACGCATAGAGGCCGCGCGCAGGGACACCCCCCTGCGCACCCCCCTAGTGGCGACAAAGTGCCACGCCTGCCACACTTTCCGACCCTGGCACGACTAGAGGCCACGTTGAGGGACCACCCCCTGCGCCCCACCTCTGGTGTCGAGAAAGTGCCGCACCTCTTATTGTCGCGCATGTGTTGCGTGGTGTTTCATGTACGTGACGTGCATGTGTTGCACGCGGGTGAAGGCAGAAAGGAAGAGGAGGAGGAGAGGTGAGAGAGACGCGGGTGCGACGCGGCAGGGAAGAACACCAGAAACCCACGAAACATGTGGGGAACAATTTCTCCTCTGAAGATTTGGAAAACGGCCCCTAGTTACATCAAACATATTAAATAAAAATCTTGCATGTTGCCCAATCTGGCGAAGGCTTAAACAAACATTGTGGTGCATCCCTTGCGGGGGGAACACCGTATCTGGTAAAAACTCAAATCTGAGCCAGCGCCGGGGCAGCTGAGACCCCCCAGAACAATAGCTCGCGTGAAGAATAGGAATGGAAAGACAAAGAAAACCCACCTGGAACCTCGATCACCGAGCCTCGTTGGACGACGGCTGGGACGAGGACGACGAGAACGACGACGACGACGACGACGACGACGACGACGACGACGACGACGCGACGACTTTTCGTGGGGGGGGGGGGGGGGCAAGATTTGTTGCCTTCCCTCTCTCGGACTTTCCGTTGTCCCCCAATGCCGCTCAAACGCCCCCAAAAGCACAGAAACACACATCTCCCAAAAGCCAGCGCCGAGATCGCCGTCACCCCCAAGAGTACGACGACTACGACGAGCACGAAGAAAACGTATCCTACGAACCAGCGCCGGGGAAGCCGAGACACCAAAAAGGAATTCCAACGCCCAGAATGGAAACTGGAAATCCCAACCCCCAAGAACCAATGCTGGGATAGCCGTGACCCACCAGAATAGCACGCGTCCAGAACTATAATCAAATGCGAGAATACCCACCTCGAACCTCGATCGTCAAGCCTCGTTGAAAGACGGCTGCGGCAAGGACGAGCACAACGACGACAGCAAGGAAGACGACGTTAACGACTGCACTGGCGACTGCGAGGATTACAACGATTACGACAAGTACGACGAAAACGTATCGTACGACTTTCTGCCGGGGTATCCCCAAGAAAGAACGCGAAATGCAACGCGGAAGGGGTCAAATAAGCGGGCCCGAGAAAACGCGAAGTGCAACGCTGAAAGGGCCCGGTAGGTGGCCCAAACAAAGAACGCGAAGTGCACGCGGAAGAGCGCGTTTCTTCATTTTCGGCGATCATGGGCATTATTGGGGGGAGGGAGGGGCCAGGGGGGGGTGTAATGTAACGCCTCCCCCCCGCCGCGCGCACGGCGCGCACGGCGGCAGTGCCCGGAGCGCACCGGGGGGGAGGGGCGTTACGATATAGGGAGGGGGGGGGGGGAAGGGAGGGCCGGGTGCTATGATGCCCATTATGCCCCAAGCAGAGGAGCACGCTCGAAGGGGGCCAAGCAGGCGGGCCCCGAAGGAGCACCGAAGTGCAGCGCGGAGGGGGGCAAGATAGCCATGCCCAGCAGACACGCGGAGCGCAACGCGGGAGGGATCGAGCAGGCAGGCCCCCCGGAAGAGCGCGAGGTGCGGCGCGGAGGGGGGCACGCCGGACATGCCCGACAAGAAGCGCGGCGTGCAACGCGCAAGGGGTCAAGCAGGCAGACCCCAAGGAAAAAAACACGAAGTGCAACACGGGAGGGGTCTCACAGGCAGGCCCAAAAGAACGCGGAATGCAACACGGAGGGGGCCGACTCGACAGGCCCAACGGGGCACGCGAAGTCCAACGCGCAAGGAAACAACTGAACACGCCCCACGCGAGCGCACAATGCAACGCGGAAGAGGGCACATAGACGGGTCCAACAAGAAACGCGAAGTGCAGCGCGAAAGGGGTCAAATAAGCAAGGCTCAAAACACGATAAACTGAGCCACATGAACCACGACACCACAGAACGAAACCACACACCGGAAACCTCCTCCTCCTCCTCCTCCTCCTTCTCCTCCTCCTCCTAGGCCAACAGTCCATCGAATTTGCCCTTCCTCGATCCTCGACCCCTCATTCTCATCCCCCGTCCTCGATCCCTCATTCCTTTCTCATCTTTATAGGTGCCTCATCCTTCGTCTCCCACTCCTCAATCCTCGGCTCTCGATCCCTCCTCCCCCTCCTCCCTGTTTTTCGAACCCCACCCTTCCTCCTCCTCCTCCTCCGCATCCTCCCCCCCTCGATCATCGGTCCGTGCTCCTCCCCCTCCGACTTGATCCTCGATGCCTCCGCTCCCTTCTCATCGATCCTCGGTCCTGGATCCCTCCTCCTATGCTTTTTCGATGCGCGATCCTCGATCCGTCCTTCTCCTACTCCACCTCCTGCCCTTCCTCCTCTTCCTTCTTCTCGATCCTTGATTCCACACTTGGTCCAGGCTGCGGTCGACTCCGATCAAGGAAGAACGTCTTCAGGGAATAGTGAAGCGCGAGAGGGTAGGATAAGCTTCTGTGCAACCAAAAATTGATATTAGAGACCATCGAATTAAAACACACACACACACACACGTGGCTAGATTCACATGTGGCACATCCAGAGGCCGCTTTCTGGATGCAGATGTGGAGGGCCAGCGTGCTTAGCCACATTCAATGTACGGTTCGCGTGCGTTTCGCATACGCCAAATCCATTTCAGATTCGTGATGTCTACATTATGTGTGAGCGGTTACTAGACGTGCCATCGGCATGTCGTATACGTATTGCATCCGTTCACTATACGCATCGCATGCGTGTCGCTTGCGCTTCGTATATGTTCCAGAGACGTTGCGTACACCACTCGTATGGGATCCGCATACGTTTCGCATGTGTTTCGTATACGTATCATCTACGTTTCAGAACGGCCCCGTGCACGTATGATTTACGTGCAGCGTACTTTCTGTACACGTGTCGTATAAGTTTCGTATACGATATATATATATATAGATATGTGTGTGTGAACCTATAGATATTTACACATATATACACGGTCCGTCTACCCTGAAGTACTGTAGACGTCAAAAAAATTGACACACGTGCCATGTGCATGCACGTTCCAGGCATGTTTCGTATGCGTTTCAAAACCATTTCGTATCGGTGTCGGGAACGATTCTAAGACGTGCCGTGGTTGGTCCCGGCATGTTTCGAAACGTGTCGCACGTGTGCCAAACATGTGTTGCGCACGTTTCAAAAACTGTGTCCGTGCACACTTCGCCCATGTATCGGAAACGCTGCGTGAACGTTTCATGTACGTTAATCAATCATATCATGTACGTTTCGTGTACACCTAGAGCACGTGTCAAGCATGTTCCCCATGCACGTCATTGTCGTTTTCCCGTACGCGTTGTATGCAATTTCGAAATATCGTCTCGTATGCGTGTCGTGCACGTTTCTGCAGCGTTTCCATACGCGTTTCAATACGTCTCGTATATGCTCCTGGAGCGTTGATTCTGCGTTTCATATACGCTACGCATACATGCTGTATACTGTTGGCATTGTTGTGTGCTTGTTGTGTTCGACCGCGCGTCCGCCGCGCAGAACCCCCCCCCCTTCCTTTCACCAAGCCATGAGAGCAAACAGAAGAAGGTCAACCCTACAACTAGTACCTCTCCTGCTTTTCCTCCACCTTCTCCTCCACCTCCTCCTCCTACGGCTACTACTACAACCACTACCACTACTACTTTTGTTTCTACTACGACTACGGCTACACCTAATAACGACTACAATTATTACTACTACTACTTCTACTTCTACTTCTACTTCTACTACGACACCTACTTCGAGTGCGACTACTACGGCGACGACGACGACGACGACGACCACTACTACTACTCCTACGATTACTGCTACTACTACTACTACTACTACTACTACTACTACTACTACTACTACTACGACTACCACTACTACTACTACTACTACTACTACTACTACTACCACTACTACTACTACACTACTACTACTCCTACTACTACTACGACTACTACTACTACTGCTAATACTACTACTTCTACTACTACTACTACTACGACTACTACTACTACTACTACTACTACTACTACTACTACTACTACTACTACGACTACTACGACGACTACTACTACT